TGGTTAACGTTTTTGTTTTTAGCATTTGACCGATTGTTGCTATAATAAATTAGTCAAAATATCTAAAAATAGGCGTAATGAAATGAATTTTTAATAGATGGAAATCTAAGTTATCAGGTATTCTTTATATTACATGTATAATTTATGGACCCGTTTTCAAAAAGTTTATTTGTGCATTGAAAGAAATTATCAAAGAGAAATTATTTATAGAATTGTTTATTAACTTTAATTGATGTAAAATTAAAATCATCAATATTCATTCGAACTAATAGCTTGTTCTTTTCCTAAAACGCAAAATAATAAATTCGTGCACCAGAAAATCTATTAAATTCATATATAAGATCGCTCATAAATCAATAAATTATTAATTAAAATCCTCGGCAGACTAAAAATACAATTACTATTACCGTGACAATGCAACCGGGGCTAGTAACGTCATGTTTCTAAATATAGAACAAAATTACATATAAATAGGCTTTAAATTCACTCAAAAAAAGTTTCTTCACACAAAATAACAACAACAACAACAACAACAACAATAATAATAATAATAATTAGTAAAAAAAGAAACCAAGTATTAAATTATAAAAATACGAAAATGTTCAAATCATCCAAATTATCTATTATCTTCTTGGTCCTCGCAAGTGCTACATTATTCACACATGCAGCTCCCACTAAAGCTGGGAATGAAATTACATTAGACGCTACCACCCTTTGCACCTACCTTCCTCCTAAAGCAGGAGGTAATATTGCTGATCACGAAGACGATGCTGTACCATTCTGCAATACAACTACCCCTACAGGAGTAACTGGAACAGTCAATCTTATTCCTGACGGATTTATTGTATCATCAAATTTCTTAGCCGGAGATGGATTCGTTCAATATACAGGCAAAATTAACCCATCTGCATACAGCTTGGATCCAAATGATGAAGGTGGTCAATACGACAGTGTAGGAGCTCCACCAGGTGCAAAATGTGTGGGAAATGATTTTGTAAAATTTGTGAACTTAATCGAACCAAAAGATGAACGTTTCTGTATCCGTTGCTGTTCTGATAAAAGCAAATGTAATACTAGTAAGAGTACTGCTGGGTGTCCAGATATCATCCCTGGTGATTACAGTTAAATCAATAGACTTTTTTAAATATATTAATTTAATTTTATTAGACATTTTTATTATTTCTTTAAAGTATATTAATTTAATTTATTAGAACTTTTACTTATAAATAATAATATACTGTTTCCTATTTGTTAATATAATATTATTTATTATTGGTTGGTTATTTATTGTGCGGTTAAATAAATAAAGTATGTTTTTTTTTAAGGTATAAAAATGAATCATGACCAAAACTTAGTATCAAAACCCTCTTTTTCTCAGGGAATGGTTAAAGTCCCAATTTGGTAATAATGACTAAACTTGACTAAATAGTTTAGTCAGTTTAGCCAAATGCTCATTTAGGTTACGCGGCCGAACCCTGATTTTTTTTATTAATAACGAACTGCCTTTAGATCACACGAAATTTATAAATAAATGGCGCTCTCTATACTGTACAAAATCTGCAGATAAATTAGATAAATTTCGTATTAATAATATTTGGTTAGCGTGCACCCGTTGAATTTTACCAAACTCTTATTAATATTAATGAAACAGGAATAAATCAACAAGTCCCAAATGAAGAGCAATAATAATGACGATGCTGATAATGATATAACTGGGGCGATTCCTCCTCTCACCCGCCTGTATTTACGTAAAGATAGATGCCTTTGTTGGCAATAGAAAAAATCAAATTATACTTTGAACAACAATCAGACAAATCACATTTAATAGATAATGATTTGAGATTAATAAGAAATATTTAAAAAAATATTAATTCAAAGAACAAGCAAAAATTGATGATTATATGAATAAATAAATAATTTTTATATTTTAAAAGATTGTTTATATATTGGGTACGGGTTTCAGCCAATAATGCAAATTTTATAATTAATGATCATGTGACAATGATTACACTCTATCAGGACCCCCAGAAAGTTTACCCTGAAATTTTCACACCACATCCAAAAATGTGTAATTTTACCTATGAAGTTCCTTAGAACATCTTATTTAAATATTTAAACAACAATAAAATTTTTTCATCGGTTAGAGTTTTATAAATTTTAAATGCACCAAGATAATAAATGTGAGAACAATTCATGTTCATCTTCACTTGTTGAATAAAAATATTATTAAGGATTAATATATACTTACAGGAAACATTTGAAATGATACCAACGTCAATTATTGGTTCTTTTGCATAAAAATGATAATTTCCTGTAGTTAGTAACAAGGTGAATTTTAGAATTAATTAATGCAAAGGTATATAGATCCTCCTTTAATTACTGGATACACTGTTAAAATACTTACAATAGTGACAATTGGTATAGAGGATTCTGCATTAAATTTAAAAATAGTAACATGTTTTTTGAGGTTGGTATTTATTTAATGATCTTTCCTGCAAGATTTTCTCGAAACAAACAATATGCTTGTGGACTAGCACTTGATAATATTGTTAAAAAATTTGTAGATTGCCATTTTATATTTTGTAGTGACTTTCCTTCTGAGATTCTTGTGCAAAAATTTCACATAGATCAATAAATACTTTTTTTTTTCTTTAATCAAAAGCACCATTTGTTGCCCAAAATAGCCAATGATTCCATAAAGTTAATAATATAATGGCATTATTGCAGTATTTAAAAGGAGAATTATTTTAATAATGAATTTTTGGAATAAATTTTTTTATTTTGTTCATCAGGATTTTTTTTTTTTTTTTTTGCAAGTGTTTACAAAATAATAGTCTTTAAAATCAATTTAAAAATTAGAAAATTTTTCAAATCAAGACAAGGTTTGCAGACTTTTTTTTTAATACAATTATTGTTTCTAACACAAAATGTTATCAGAAATCTGTTTGAGCTGATCTGATCCGATCTATTTGATCTGATCTGGTTCTTTACCTGATCCGAAATATCCTATGTCTACAAATGACTATATACATGCCTTACAACCAACTTTTTTCAATTGAAAGCATTCTGCTTGTGAAATTTAGATGATAGCATTTGATCAAAAATTTGTTGATTTGTCTCAAATTATTAATTTATTATATTGTATTTATACATACATACAATAAGAACAAAATTATCAACTAAAAAAATAATAAATAAAAAACACCTAAAGAATTTCTCCAGTCCTTTATAATCATGGTATAGCAAATCAATCAACCTTCATCACTACAACCCTTCAGTGTTGTAACAAACTTTTAATGTCATAGTATTTCTAAAATCATAATACATGTCAAATCATTCATTGGTTCAAACAACAATCTTATTTGAGTAAAACAATAAATAACAAGCCACATCCACCAGTGACAAAGTCATATTCTAAATATTAATGATAAAACAGTAATTGATGATAGGATAAAAAAAGGTAAAAATTAACAATATTTTAACAACCATGATGATATTTTTTTAAAAAATCTTCCTAACCAATTGATATAAATGATTTTTTTTTTAATTAATATAAAATTTTCATTCTTTACAAACCTAAAAAACATCATTAATGCCTTCGTCATTGTCAACCATTATCTATTTAGCAAGTTACGAGGAGGTGGTAAATGGTCAATTCTCGATAGGAGATGGTAAAGGTGCAGTTAAGTTGAATGAAAATGACACCATCCAAGAGATAAAAAACCATCCTATCCTATTGACGACTTCTATGAATGTCCTCTGCCAAGAAATATAGCCCCGATCAGACATACGTTGCTTTAAGCAGGTGTAAATCTTGGAATGATACCAATATAAATTCATTGGACGTAAATTACATTCAACAAATGGTAGAAGAGTATGAACGTTTAAAACAAATAGCCTTACTAACGTAAAGGCATTTAATATTAATAAAGTCACCATCCAAAATCAATCTTTGCCTACTCTATACAAACTGATGGCCTGCAGAAGAAAGTTGGTGATATTGATTTGAATGGATGCAAAATATTTGGGATGGATCATGAAAGGATAGGTCTGTCTGTGGCAGTGGTTTCAGATGAAAAAGTTGTGAGTCGTTCCAACAAGGAAACACTGGAACTTAGCAGTGTTTGTTCGTGCTCACAAAAAACGTGAGTTGTGGTTGGAAAAAAATAAATAACTTCAGGCTGTTATTCGAGATGAGCTATACTTTGTTAATTTAATTTGCTATTAAACAAGAATAACACTTAATAATCATATCCTTCACTTAATACTAACACAAAATTCCAACTCTGCTGTCAATGAATATGGCTCTTACCTCGCTTACGTTTTGTTTTACTTCGATACAATCCTTGATTTTTATGGTGAACGTCGCTAGCGTTGTTTGCGATGGAAATCTTTTATTAATAAACAGAAGACCTAAATTTTGATGCTTATCAGTCCACCTATTATACAAAGAACAAACTGAGGAAGTACGGAACTCGTCAACATTCGCTACCTTGCAGTGTCTAGAAAGCTCTCGGCGAAAATTCTTTTACAAGGCTTGGAGTATGTCCGCGTGATGTTGATGAGAATTTACCATTATTACCATTACCATTTGTTATTCTTTTGCGCAGGTCTAAAAATCAGTCTGTCTGATACATTGGAATCGAAATGTTAATGCTGCCCGTAACATAAGGAACATTCTTTGCTTATAAAGGGGATTTTACTGACTTTTCTGTTGCCATTTTAATTGTGGCAAGATATGTTGGTGGCAGCAGCACCATGGATTTGGTGTAACAAAGTTTACTGTTATATAATATTAAGTGTAACTGTGTATCAAATTTACTATTACCAATTTGCCCACACAAATAAAAACTATTTTATATCTTTATAGTTATTTAGTATTTTATTTATTAGATCGATCTTTTTTTATATTTCCTAAACATCTCTCTCTTTATAGTATGCTTCTTTGCTTTTTTTTACATTAACAAGATAAACATACACACACGCATATATATGTCCAAATGTCTGATAAGAACAAATCACCAACACCACTTCATATAAAAATCAAATCCGATGTGTTTACCAACGACGGCACCAGTCTCATTCAAAAATTGCTCCAAGAGACATTTATTTATCCTTATTTTATAAAATATTTCAAAACAGGCATCGTTTTAAAACAATGTTTGTTAATACTTGTGTTGTTATTATTTGGGATCTATCTTTTTTCACCAAGCAAAGATGGTACAATTCCACCCGATATAACTCCACAACCACAAGATTCTGACTCATTAGCAAACGTTATTCCTACTGATGGTGATGGAGAGGCTACTGCAGTATTGCTAAATTGGTCCAGATTGGAAAACTTGAAAATAATAGTAAAACATTTGTGTAAATATTCAATTTTCAAAGAAATAATGATATGGAATAATAATGGTGATGTACACCTTTCTGATTCAGTAAGCAAAAAAAAAAATTTCCTGCAATTGATAATAATTATATTTTCCCGTACACTCTCTAATCTTTTTTCCTTGTCATAAAGATGTTTACAGATACACATTGCGGTAAACTAAGATATTATAATTCACCTGGGAATATGCATTTCATTGCTAGATATATGGCATGTGCAATGGCAACAACACCTTATTGTTACTTTCAGGATGATGATTGGATAATTCAACATATACGCTCCATGTATGCTAATTTTTTACGCTTTCCGCATTTAGTACATACAGATACAAATGCAGATGTTTACTCTCTAACAAATTGGAAATGGTGCTTTTTTGATGATAGTATGTGATCTTTTTTAATTGGAATATTATGATATATAAATAGTATTAACGATAACAACGTAATTTCTTTGATTTGAACTTCAGATGTTGATTTACATGCGTGTTTTTCATGGGTTGGAACTGGGGCATTTGCGTCAAGAAAAAATGTGGTGAAATTTTTAAAGTTAGCATCAATCACAGAAATGGATCCTAAAGAATTTGCATATGGTGATATGTATTTTACAACCTTTATGAACCAAGTAACTTATCAACTGGAAAACGAGCTAAAAGAGTTGCCACAAGAGAATGCTTTCAGTGGTGGGGAAGGAGGAAGGATACGCAATAAAATTTATATGCACAAAGCTTTAGTGCGTCTATACGATCATCTTAGTCGTAAATCAGAAATTTTTGAGACAAATGAATTAAATCCAAAAATGAAAGAACGAGATGTACGTTCACCATGTGCAAATGATCGGTGTTTATTCCTCACAAATAAAAATTCATTCCCGGATGTAAGATTATTTAGATATAGACCATACGTAAACATTAGTGAATCAGAAAGAATTCATGAAAGTTATTTTAGCACAGAACATTTTAAAAGATTTCCTTATTCACATGCTGTGGATGATAAGGAGTGGACTGCGTGGAAATCACAAGATGGTAAATTTGTCAATTAATTGGGCAAGTTTGATATATTGATATATATTAATATATTTTTTTATAATGTGAACAAATTTTAGTGATTCGTAAAGGTGATTATGTTGGTTTAGATTTATTATTGCCCATGCCAGTACCACTCACCTTTGAACTTATAGTTGATCATCACAAAAGTTATTTTTTATCGTTGACTATACAAATATCTTTCAACGGAATTGATTGGGTTCGAGTTATTTTAATATTTTAATATTTAAATTTTTACTTAATATTGATTTTTACTTATACCAAAAAAAAATTTTCCCTAAAACATTATGTTACAGTTTCCATTGATACCTTTGCCCAAATTTTCAATCCATGAAACTCCACAAACAGGTGAAGATGGCAAAACACATTTATTATTTTGTACATTTAGAATCCGTGAAACAGGTTTTCGATTTGTTAAATTGGTCAGCTCAAAAGATTACGATTTTCCTTTTCGAATATATAAATTTTCATTTCATGGTCGTATGGAAAATCTTGATATTAACAATAATTTATAAATTATTAAATAATAGTCAGAATATATTAGATGACAACATTAATTTAGCATTAACATTCAATTATATAGATTTTTTGTAAAATAATAATTAGTGCAATTTTAATGTATAACAAAAAAAGGCTACACGCACACACATATATATTGATTATTATTTAAATAACAATAATTAAACAAATTTCTTTTTGGATAAAATAATTTAATAATAATAATAATAATAATTTATTTATATTATATTTTAAATGCCGACAAAAATTTTTTATATAATATATATAATAATAATAAATTAAAATTAATAATAAAAATAATTTAGATATTTAATCTATTTTTTGTCTCCTTGTTTATTGTCAACAAATACTACATCACACTATCACCATTATTATTATATTATTAATCAGTTTTATCTTTCAGTTCAACTTCTTGTTTCAATGCTAAAAAGTGTCTTGTCATTAAATTGAACATGCTACCAAAAAAGAGTGCAATAACAGTACAAGTCAATGTTATTACATTATACGGCATACTAAAATCTGGTGTAGGAAGACTAACTAAAAGTGTTTCTGTATAAATTCTAATGGAAAAATTATTATTACATGAATCCCTGGTGTTTAGTGTACAATTTCTAATATTATTTAAATTATTCAATTCATTTGTTTTTGTATCCGTTGAGGTTGATAATACTGCTGAACCTATGTCAAATCCTCTATTTGCATCTGGTGGATGTTCTGTATATTTTAAAAATACTTTGTCAAAATTTATTGATAACGTTGTTAAAGAATTTGGCAGTAATAATAATTTTGCCTCTATAACATTGGGTCTAGATCTATCAACAGCTGGTTGATAATAAAGAACTTTTATTGGATTATCTAAAAAAAATTTTTAAAAGTGTATGTTATAATTTTGAAAATTTTAATTTTAGAGTGAAAAAATCATCTAGGTACCTCCACCTTCAACTGAATCTTTTCCATTGACTTGAACTTTAAGAGTATGTAGATATAATTTCAAATACCAAGGAATAACATCATAATATATAACTGGAACAGAATATTTTGGACTTTTATTGAATATATTAACTTTAATACCACCCCTTTCTTGCCCATACCCTAGACATTATAATATATAAAGCATATAATTTGTATAATTATTTATTTAATTCAAACAATTGTTAAAGGAAAATTGTTAAAAGTGCAATGGAATTAAATATACCTGTAAAGTAACGATGTGCAAAGACACGAGGCTGTATTGAATCAATATCTAAAATACCAAATTGAACAATTTATACATACACATATTATTATCAGCTAATGTTATTATAGATATTGTACATAAACAAATACATACTATATTCAAATGTCTCCTCATTCCAAGTCATTGATAATTCATTATCTAGTAAAGCTTTAGAATATATATAATAAAATTAATAATCAATTAATATGTATGTATACACACAAGATAAAATGAAAAAATCTTTCTATCTTACCATTTTTCAAATTATAAATTGCAATATTCCTTATGTTGGATTCTCCTTCATTTCTTCTTCTAACTATATCGTTACTTTCTGGTGTGATTTTATAATCTCCATTTTCTGGTAAAATTAACTCCAATTTACTTTCTTTAGCCAATGGACAAGCACCAGTAAACAGTCTACCAAATATTTGACTTAAAGACCAGTCTTATATATATATATATATAACAAAAATCCTGATCAATGATCAACAAATTTTACTAAAAAAGTTCATCCAAAAATTGAGAAAAAATCAGATTTTAACCTCTTTTCCCAGAATTTCTAACTGGATCTACAACTGTGGATAAAGCTAGAACAATTTCCAAACTTTTATTAGCACATTTCAAATCCTAATTAACAAATATTTTGTTCAATAAATAAATCCCATATAAATGTTGTAAGATTAGAATTATTGCATAAATACCTCACATATTGGTTTTACATGAATTGACATTGAATGAAAATTGGAATCATATAGTTTGTGTCCATTCAATAATGAAGCTATGCCAGACTTTTTACCAAGCAAATATATACAATTAATAGCAAATTTCATATAAACAAATTATAATATTAAAAAAATTCATTGATGTCATTTACCATTGATTTGCATGGTAAAAGTTTGATCCAAGGTGTGAGATTTTCGGTACACACATTTTCATGAGGTAATGATCCATATCTTAGTTCTGCCCGTTCTGATAATTCAGTATCTAAAGTTATTATTACGAAATTTTATTTTGTTAAGCATGATTATTTATATATGTAAAAACTCATATATTATATATTATATTTTTTCTTCCATTTACCATTATAAAACCCTTCTGGGCGAAATGATAATCTGGGTTGAACTGTGATGGTATCATCAATAAAATTTAAAGATGCACAAAAAAGTCCTGCAAGTGTGTTTGTCAATGATTTCCAATTTTTATCCAACCTATTATCATTATTATTACTATTGTTGTTATGATCATGTTTGGAAAATATTAAATAAATTAATATTCATGAACAAACTTTTCATCCTTCCAAAGCCATGCCCATAACTCAACACCTGTTCCGGCTGAAGGTGATAAAGGATATCCCCAATCTTCATAGTTCCAACGCCCTTGTGTAAACGTTAGGTGTAATTCACGTACATTGAAACTCTGTATAATTTGACCAATAGCACGTGGAAAAAAGTTGTAATGGTTGACTTCAATATAAATACTGTATGATTAGTATATTTTAATAAATATAAATCAGCCCTCTACTTGTGCACTTACACTTTTTGCCTTCAACAACACTGTTAAGTCTAACACTAAATTGAAAATGTGTTAATAGCTTGCCATCAGACAGTGGCTTAATTGTTAAAGTCTCTTTTAATTTATTATCATGAGGTTGATATTCAGCAAAAGAATTAGTAATCAAGATAAAAAAAAGGATTGGCGAAATTAATGATAATGACCATTGAGTTTTATGTTTCATTTGTTTAAAAATGAAAGTTTTTTTTTTATAATAAAAATGATTTACAATTTTAATTTTCACCAACTAAAACTAACACCATAAAATGTCTGAAACTTTGTCCAAAGTAGATCAAATTGTTAATGATATTAAAAAGACGGCAACAATAAGTAATGAAGAAAAAACACGCAAAAAATTAAATAAAATAATTAAAGATGGTTTCGATAATTTACATGTCATATCTGGTAAGATGACAGTTTTATATTTTTTTCAATAAATTTAATAAATACAATGATTTTATTTCTTAGACTTTGATGCAACCATGACTTCATATTGGACTGATAATAAAAAGCGGAATCCTGGGTCACACTCAGTATTAGGATCAAGCAAACATTTATCTGATCAAGTTTGTAATTTCAATATAATTAATATTACTTACTAAAAGTTGAACAATAATGGTGCCAATAATTTTTTGGTATATAATAAGTTCAGAACTCGTACCAAAGAATTGTATGAAAAATATTATAGTATTGAGATTGATTCACATAAAAGTAGACAAGAAAAAATACCATATATGGTTGAATGGTGGGAAAAAGCTCATGAACTTTTAATTAATGAAAAAATCAATAAAGACGATTTGGCTAAAATGGCAGCTGAATCAACTATAAAAATGCGGCCTGGTTTAGCTTCATTAATTAATACATGCAATGAAAAAAAAGTACCTTTACTAATATTTTCGGCTGGACTTGGCAGTAAGTATATTTATTTATATCTTTCTTTGATAATTTTCATTATAAATTTTTTTCTTAAAAATTTTTTCATAATCTGAACATTATAAAGATGTTATCGAACAGGTTTTAAGGATCAAGAATCTTTATTATCAAGATACTATGCATATTGTATCCAATCAAATGGAATTTAACCCGGTCACTGGAATATGCAATCATTTTAAAGAACCTTTGATACATGTATTTAACAAATCTGAAGTTGTGGTTAAAGATAGCCCTTACCGAACTGCAATTGAAGAACGAAGAAATGTAATCCTTCTTGGCGATTCTATTGGAGATTTACAAATGTCTTATGGGATTAGTCATGACACTTCTTTAACAATAGGATTTTTAAATTTTAAAATAGATGAACTTTTAGATGAATATCTAAAATCTTTTGATATAGTTGTGACTGATGATGGCCCAATGGATTGTGTAAACATTATTCTTTCTAACATTGATAATTGTGATAGATTTCATTTTATTCATTAATGTTGTTATTTTCTTACCTTTTATTTTCACACTAAATGTATATTAAAAAAACAGTATATAAATAAATAAATAATACATAAAAAGGCTTTTTCTAAATATAAAATAAAATAATTACTCTAATGATTATTATTTAACTTTGTAAACAATTAAATACTGAGGAATAGAAGCTTCTTCTCTATATACAACAACTTCATCATAATTTAAGTTGCCAGTTTTACTTGGTTCACCTAATATTGAATTAAAACCTGGTGGGGGTTCAACTAACTTCATATTATCTTTAGTTAATTGGTATCCTTGTCCAACAACAACTTTATTCAATATCATTACTTTGTAATTTGAACCTTGAAAATATTTTAATGAACCTTCATTATAATCATCAGATTTAGATGATGTTCCAGAAAAATATATACCCCTGCCAAATCTTTGAAATGCTGCACTTATTGTACCAGTGCCCACAAATCTCAACTTGTAACCTCCTTTTATAATAGAACAAACAGCACATGTTGAATCTTCACATACACTACCATCACTCGTTAAACCTATATTACATGTTCTAAAAAAAATATTATCAAGATCAATAATAATTTTAAAATGAGAATAATAGATAATAATAATAATAATAATAATAATAAACACAATTGGTACAAACGTTTTTGTTCCATGAAATCTTCTTTGTTCATTTCCTGGACTCATTTTACGTTTTCCATCACCTTTTGGAAAAAATTTACCAGCCAATTTGTGATGATTTTCAACCTCATCACGATACACATTATATCGACTATTTAAATCTTCTGAACAAAATATCTTCCATATAGCAGTAATTTCTGGTACCATTTTATGAGGATGTTTCCAAGCAGCTGTAAATTGATTAGTTATATCTTTGTATTTTTGACCACTTGATGGTAATTTCAGCAAACACGGTGCTAAAAAAAAAACCAATAAATTAATATTCTTTTGTAAATTGACAAATATAAAGCTACGATTCAATTTAAGAGGAAGACAATTTTAAATAAATATATACCCATTTTTTTAATAGATATTTCACAATCATCAGAACAAAAATCGCTTCCTGCTAATGCATTTTCCTTTTTACAATATATACAATATTGATCACTTCTTTCATGAATCAATCTTTGCCAGTTTGGAGTCAGATCTCTGCAGTTTATTGAGCACCAAAGTGAGCAAGGGTATGCCTCCTTTTCCTATATAAAATATAAAATATATATCATATACACATAAATTTACTTTATACATAATAAATATTTATTAAAATAATAACATCCAAAATACCTTGCAATTTATACAAAGTGGGAGATTTCGACAATTTTTCCAACCGCAAAATTGTGAATTAGTAACTTGTGGATATTCTTTACATTGAATACAAATAGCATCTGCAAATGAAACTGCTTCTTTTCGACACTCATTACTACAATATTCACCGGCAAATCCATCAGGATCAACATCAACTTTCTCGGATTGACAATTGAGACAAAATTCATCTTTTGAAGGCGGTTGCAAATTTTTTTCAACATCATCGATACCATAATCTTCAAAAGTTTGAGCGGCTTTTGTAACATACTGAGCCAACACCTTTGCACTATTAACCCCTTCGACATTATTTGAAGAATCTACTGGATTTAGCCCATGATCAGATGTTGGAATTTGTGGTATTTGTGAATGTGGATTAAATCCTAAAGGCATATCATTGATTTGTGGATTTAACGGGTTTATTAATTGAGGGTTATATGGTTGTTGCATTGGAGGGAATTGTTGGGGGTATGGCGGCTGCTGTACAGGCATGTATGATAAATTCCGTTGCAATGGCGGGAATGGTTGCGTATTTGGTGGTAAATGCATATATGGTTGAGGAGGAACTTGATTTGGCGGAAGTGGTAGTAATGAATTGTGAGGATTTTGGGCATAATGTAATGGTGGTTGTGAATAATTATTAGCGGGATATGCTTGCGAAGCTGTGAAAACCTGTGGTTTTGGAGGTGTTTTTGGCTTCTAACAAAATTATTATCAATTAATAAATTTTTTAAATCTAAAAAAATAAATAAATTAATTAATTAATTAAACACTTACGGTAGTACCTAAGCAGTTCCCCATTATGAATTATTTTCACCAAAAGTAATAAATAAAAAACTAACCAAATTCTAAAACAGCAACAATAATATTAATATATAATATATAATGAAGATGTTATTAAAATTTGTAAAAAAAGTTTTTCTTTTGTTTTTTAATAGTACGCGTAAATATTATTATTATAAAAGAATAGACATGTTATTTTTTTAGGAAAAAAAATATGGAAAAGAATTCTTATCGAGCCTAATTGTTTTTTAAGTTAGAAAATGAATGAATTTATATGGTATTTTCTGAATTTTTGTGGTTCAAACAAGAGGAGTACGTGTTACGCAATGATCTTTAATTTGCCGGCAGAAGATCATTTTTACTTACAACCAACTAATGCTAATTTTAGAAAGTACTATCTAAATTATCTAAATTTCATTTTAAATTTTTAATAGGGAAGAAAGAAACAAGAATTTTTGTTATTTTTTCTTGTTTATTAATAAAAATATTTGTAAACTCGATTTATTTATGCTATCAAGTACTTTAAACAATTGATTACTGCGTCCGGCTTATCGAGTTTACATGTGTAGTTGGTTCCAATGAAACAGCTTTTCTATAATAATTCTCTGCACAATATATGCATATTCCAAAAATACTTAAAGATGTGCATTCGAAGTTCCGACATCAAAAAACTTTTTAAAAATAAGGGAAACCATTCATTTTGATAAATAAAATAATTGGTTTTTTTTAGAAAAATCATCATGTGATTTGTGTAAATGCATTGATAATGTGATTATCTGTATTTTACCTTATAAACTAACTTTATATTTAAATAAATAAATGGCTTCCCAAACACAAGACATTAATACTAATGAAAAAGTTGTGAAAGAAGATGTTAAAGATGATAAAGATGATAATAATGATAGTTCACCACTTAATTCAGAGAAAAATAACTTAACATCAACATCAATATCAAAAAATGATAAGGAAAAGTCATCATCATTGTCTGAACAAGATTCAAGTACGAAACCTTTTCAATATAATTTTGGTAATTTAGGTTCATTAGCTGGAAGTAATGAAAAGGGTAACTCAATGAAGATATTTGGCAGTGGAACCTCGTTTGGATTTACTGCTACTAAAGTAACTTGAGACTTCTATCAATATATAAATATACATTTGTTGGCAAAAATTTTATTATTTTATATTGTTGATTTTTGATTGTTAATTAATCAATAGCCATTAGGTTTTGCAAGTTATGCTTCAAGTTCTACACAAAAAGTATCTGATTCTACGGATGAAACTACAGACGATAATTCTGAAAAAATAGAGAATAAATACACCACCAGCATCACTTTAAAACCTCAAGAAGGTACTTCATAAAATCATTATTATTGTTAATATGATGATAATATGAAATAACATTTATCCATTAATTGTATATTTGTATTTATATATAAATAAATCAACTTGTTTTAGTTCTAACTGGTGAAGAAAATGAAGAAACGGTATACTCTACTCGAGCTAAATTATATAAAATGGACAAAGATATGAAATGGTGTGAACGTGGTATTGGAATATTAAAAATAAATATACCACTTGATACAACAACAGGATCTTGTCCTAGACTAAGTAAAATAAAATACAATGAATGATTCATTTTTATTTATTTAACTATTTCACAAATTAACATTACTCTTAATAATTTACAGTTATGCGCACTGAATCTACATTAGTTGTAATTCTTAACCTTGCTATATTTTCTGACATGATGGTACATCGTAAAGAAGATAAATTTATCCAAGTTGGTGGATTTGAAAATGGTACACCTGTTAATTATTTGGTTAAGGTAAATGAATGTTATATATATATATATATATTTGAAATTATTGATGTTAATAACATTGTTTTTTCTATTATTATTCTAATTATATTAATGATAAATAGGTGGGCAGTGAAGCTGTTTCAATGGCATTATATGATAGTATCTTAGATGTAATTAAAAATCTATAAAATAATCGTAAAACTTTTTGTTTTTTAATTTGCTTTAATTTTAATTTTAAATTAAAATAATAACTTTAATAAGACTTTATTTATTTTTATTTAAAAAATGTGAAAAAATTATATATGTGTGTGTGAATTTTTAGAGATTTTAGATTTCTCTAATTATTATAAATCAGTGAAATTAATATAATTAATTGATTATTATTATTGTTATTCTTGATGATAATGATAATGTTGTTATTATTATTATATTACTATTACTATCACTCATTACTGTTTTATGTTGTATAGTATTATATAAATGTATAAGTTTATCATATATAAAATTATCCTCCCACACCAAAATAAATTAAATATTATTTAAATATTAAAATTACAAAAGCAATTATATAATTATGTATAAATATCAATCTAATTTTCAATCTTCATCTATTTATAAACTATTTTACATTATTAGTCTATTTTCTTGTTGCCAATTAATTAATATGTATTAAATATTAATATAAATATATGATTTATTTAAGATTTTTGAATGGATTCTATAAACAACAATAAACAAATTAATATATAAAATATAACATAAACAAATTGTTCAATTAATTGACATACCAAAATTTTCGACAACTTTATATAATTCAATATACCCTTTAATTTCTTCTGGATTAATTCCAAAATTGGAAAGCTAAAAAAAATGTAAAGGTTTCAATGCCATTTTTTAAATAGTATAACATCAACAGCACAATAATAACGAACCTCTTTTCCGAATTGTTTAACATCCAATAATATTTGCAATCTTATTTTATCTTCGTCACTCATAGTCAAAGAGTCATCAGAAGACATTGCATTTTCATTTGCAATTCCCATCAGTGAAGAAGCAAAACTTCTTGTGGTTTTACCTTTTTTTACACGTTTCATGATTTTTGAACTTTCTTCCGTTTTTTTCAATATGGTCAAATGTTCAAAAACAATGTTATAATACCTATAATATTCATAATCATAAACATTAGAAATGATTGTTTATATGATAAATATATAATTCTGAATTGTTATAGTAAAAAAAATTTTCAATAATAATGATGGTATACCTTACAGCAACACCATCACATATAATTGCATTCCATTCTTTTTTTCTTTTTTCACTGAGTATCGATTTATTAGCATTACAAAAAATCGTTAATGGTTTCGTAATATGTGGAACAAAATATGAAGGTTCAGTTGGAGGCTTTGCATTAGGTTGACGATAAAATGTGGTGATGCTAAGAACGCGCTGTTTTAGGTTCTCTGTACATCTTTTTATAAGAATCAAGGAAACTTTCTGACTAATATTTGAAAGGTCTGGTTCCATTGAATTCAATGAGCTATTAATACTTTCTAGAATTAAAACATATATATTAAAATTAAATATCAATGATTTTTTTATATATAATAAAATACGAATTTGACATTTACCTTCTATAATTGGTTGATCAACCATAGATTCTGGTAATTTGATGATAATATTGTCTCGAAAATTTTCTCTAATCTAGTAGTCATGTTGATAATAATAACACAATGTAAATTAATAGAATGAAAAACCAAAGAATTTGCATTATTAAACAGTTTTATAATAATAATAACTTTTCTTAAAACAAACCATTATCGTAATATTTTCAATATCATGTGCCACTACAGTCAATTTCCTTAATATTTGTTCATCGAATAAATTCACGTTTGTAGAATTGCTTACAGAAACTCCACCACTTCCCTTACTGTAATTAGAACTATTTACCGGATGTAAAGCTGGTGAAGTTGTTGTCTATTTTTAAAAAAAAAAAAAAAAACAAGAAATGAAATTTCGAATTGTTTAGAACATATACAAATAAAAACAAATGATATTCTTATAAATATTTAACTATTATATACTAACAAATTTTGTATATTCACCTTTTCATCTTTTTTTATATTTGTTATATCTGTTATATCAGATAGAACGGTCGATACCCAACTTTTATATCTTTGGATTAACTAAATAATCAAAAAATAAAATATTTCAAACATAAATAGATAAATAAACTACACATTTACATGTATAGATATAAAATTTTATCAACCTGTAATGTTAATTTCCAGAAACGATGTGATAAACCATATATAAATATATTGTCTGACCAGCAACGCTCAATTGTCAACATGATAGATTTGCTTGCTGGAAGTTTCAATGAAGGAGAATCTAAATTGTCAATAATAAAATTAGATACAAATAATCTAGTAGCCAAAAAATTTATTAAAAATATTACATATTTACATTGTGATTCATTTATTCCATCACTGGGTATTTCTAGCCCCGGAGCTAGCACTTCTTCAATTTGCATCGAAATTTCTTTGAATCTAAAAGATTTTTTCAAGTATATAAATCAATATTTTATGCAGATTAAGTGAGGAACAAGAAAGAAATTTTTTTCCATACCGTAGCTGAAAATAAACGGACAATTGCCATCTTTTCATAAAATCTACATAGCTAGAGTGGTTACGTAAATATAGCAATGATTTTTTGGAAGAACACATACTTTCAATACTTAGAACAAAATTCATTGATATTATATAATTCTATATATATAAAAAATAATAATAAACATAAATATATAAAATTACTTTAATAACAAATTTTTTATTAGATCAACGTAATACAAAGTCATACCTTATGAAAAATATTCGGATTTCCAGGATTAAAGATTATGGATAATCTTTTGGTTATTGATTCTACCACCTCTGTCCAAATAGAATCGATCAAAATTTCAAAACTGGTACCACTCAATACCTTTTTTGTGATCTCAAGGAGAATGGAACAATCGTTAATTATAAAATTTAATATTTTATTGTACATTAAAGTTAACGGTTCTTTGGAATATGCAGGGAATGAATATGATTTTGAAGATTTCCTTATTGGTGAATGTGGTAAAGATGACGATGAATTTTTTGAACTTAATAGATATTTTGATTGAATTTGACTTGATGGATTTTCAAGGGCTTGGCGAACAACTGTCTACACAATTTATTGTTATTTTTGTTTACTTATTTATAAATAAAAAATAAAATTAATAATATACCAAAAAAAAAATTTTTATATTGGTACCTCTTTTATGAATGGAGCTACTAATTCTTCTTTAATTACTTGTTCTGCTGCTTTTGTATGGTCAATGAGTGCATATGTTCTTAAAATCTGTGTTAAAGTTTCTTTAGATGTACCATCCTGTGATTGATTTTTGGCAATTTGTAAAGCTGATCGAAGTTCTGACGAAAGATTCGTACGAAGTGTATCCTTTATTCTAACGATTCTCTAATGGACATATAAATGTTTTATTAAAAGATCATATAAAACAAATAAAAAAAATTTTTTTTTAAATAACTATTCTTACCCAGTCTATATTTTCTACAAAAGGTAAACCTTTCCCTTTACTAACTAGATATTGCATTTGATTATATTCAATTGCTACCCGTTCAATCTGTTTAGCATTACTATCACTATAGAAATAATAATTTTAATTCAATAATGATGAACGAATAATAAATGATAAAGAAATCTAAAATTCATAAGATCAAGTTACCTATCGACTTTCGAAGTAATAGAAGAACTATTTTCCTCACTACTTATAAGCAATAATTTTTCAACTTTACGAACAGATTCGTGAATATTTATTAGTAGTTGTAGAGATGCCTGATAAAGAAGGAAAAGAAATTACAATTGTTAAATGATTTTTTCGCAAAGGAACTAATTGTTCCTCAAAAATACACAACATACCATTGATATCACATAATCGGTTTTATTATTTTTTTTACAATACCTTCTTTTCACGTATTGATGCTCGGTGTGCTAATTGATTTTCTAACGAGTCTACAACTCCTTGAAGAGTGTTTCGAACATTCTAAATAAGTTTATTAATAATTAAATTATTAATAAGATTTTAATTTGAACGATGACAATAAATTAGAAATTTTAATTATATATTAACCTTCTTACCTGAACTTCTTCTCTCATTTTGCCCAATGGCTTTGAAATCTCGTCGATTGCTTTATCAACGCCTTTTAGGTTCGTTGATAAATCAATAAAGCTCGCATAGTCTCTATTAATCAATTCCACGAGCTCACTTTTTAAACTTTTAAGATGTGCCGTAAGCTCTTTCTTTAATTCTTCTAGTGTTAGGTGACGTCTGTTTGCTAGAAACTCATCGCTACTAAACTCGGCAGAAGCAAACATTCCCCTACTCAGAGGAGGAGGAAAGGGTAAAGGTGTTCGAGCATTGTTTAGAGGTGGCAAATTATCCCATGATTTAGTTTCGAGAGTTTCAGATGGTATGTAGATTTTTAGCGAGGTTACCCTTGAAGAGGTATTGTTACTTTGATTAGTGGTGTCTGTGTTTGTAGATGCAATCATTGTTGTAAATTTAAAAAATTTAGATTTTTTTTTGAATTACTGTTAAAGTTACACTTGTAACACAACATTTATTGACAAAATAAAGTGCATAATTTTGAATCATCATAATTAGTGAAAATGACATTATGTAAGGATGAGTTTAATTACAATAATTATATAGATAATTCAGTGGGTATAAAATTTTTAGGATGAACTGTTGAAAAATACAAATTAAATGATAATTGATATATAACAAATATTTGTAAAAGAAGGGAAAAAATAGTATCAGATTCTTTAGAAGTAAGTTATGGATTGACAACCAAATTTGGTGAAAATTAGCGCACCTAATTAATTCTCCAAATTCATGGAATCCATGGATATTGTGGAAAAGAAATTAAAATTCTAATTTTTAATATAATTTTACAAGCCTTATAATGCAAGTAGTGCTAATATTAATGCAAATATTTCACTAATAATCATAACAATGATGGTGCAGAGGTTGAAAAAATGGAAAATCTACGGCCGTTATTAGACTCTGATATTTTATGTTTCTTATGACCATTAATTCTTTTTGTAATAGGAACTCCTTCACCTCTATATGCTTATGATTCTTCATACGAGCATCAAATTAACCTTCCTGCCAAGTAAGATTTAGATATTTTGAATATTGAATTCAAGATTATATTATTATTTTTATTACTATTGTTTAATAATTATTATATGGTAAAATCATCTTCATCGTCCATTCACTTTATTTTTCTTTTCTTTTTTTCTTTGCGTTTATTTTTAAACTTTGAATATTATTAGCCAACCATAACAAATCACGATCTCTTCTAAAAATTTCCAATTCATTTAATACATCATCCAAGCCAACTTCTTGTCGTTCAATTCTATGATGAATATATTCAATTATTCGTTTTCTCGGCTTCAACTCCAAACTGTTCTCCAATGGCCATTTATTACCACTTTTTTCTATCATGTCAATAATTGACACATTATTTCCATCAAGTCCGATGTTCCATTCATTCCAAACATCATACACTGTCTTAAGATTATTGAGTTCAGATATTTGGCGATTTGGTGATTTTGATAATTGTTGAAGTTGGTGGTTCTGATTTTGGTCTTGGTAATTTTGGCTTTGATCCTGGTTCTGATATTGATTTTGATTTTTGTTGGGATTTATTTGTTTTATTGTAATATTAGTTTTTATATGATAATGACTGCTGCTACCGTTAATACCATTATCATCACAATTAGCATTAGCATTGCCGTTATTATTATAAATATCATTATTATTATTTAAAGGACTTTTTTTCTTTATGAAATTTGACAACGGTTCATTAAAGTTGTTAGGCGCCAGTTCAGGAAAACTAGGTTGTAATGGTTTTGAATTAATTGTTGAAGTAGATGATGATGATGATGATGATGACGACGACGACGACGATGATGATGATGATGATGGTATAGATGTAGGTGGTAATGATGACTTTATTATATTGGTTTGAATTATAGTATCGCTATTAATATGATCTTTATATGTTGTAGTAACGTTTGATAGTGTTATAATAATTTTTTGGTGTGATCCTATAACATTTGACGAGACTATGCATTTATTATTTTTATTATTTTTATTATTGTTGTTGTTACTGTTATTATTATTATTATAATAATGTTGATGGTATTTTGAATTTTCTTGATAATCAGATTCATTTTGATTATTTTTCTTTTTATTATAACAAGGCGTGCGTTTGACGCGTTTATAATATTTTTTTTTTCTATAATAGTCACCTTCACTCTCATCTTCTTCATCAATTTCATCATCAATTTCACTTGTACTTTCATCAACTTCATCATCAACTTCACTCGTACTTTCATCGTCGTCATCATCATCATCATCGTTATCATCATCATATTTTTCTTTTTCATCATTTTCTTCAACATCACCATTATCATCATTGTTGCAACCTTTTCCACATTTGCTATTATTATTATTAACTTTCTTTTCGAATTTTTGCTTTTGTCCAATTACTTGTACCTTTGCAACTTCTTCTAATAATCTTTCTGGCTTTCTTCTTATTCGTTGTGGCCTTTCTTTTTTAATTGCTAATATAAATGGTTTATTACTTATTGCTTCATTTGTTATTGTTTCATTTATTATTGTTTCGTTTGTTGTTATTTCATTTACAGTTTTTTTTGGTCTTCCAGGTCTTCTATGTTTTCTTTCAGCGATCATATTTAACTTCTTTTATAAATGAAGGATGTATACATACAGTCAGCGCTCGATATAAGAAAAAGTTTGGTTTTGACAAAAAACTTCGCTATTCTTTATATAAAAAGATCGACAAAAAATTCACAAAAATCCCGTGATACGACTTGAATAAAAATTTCACGAAATTACAATAAAAAAATTATTTAGTAATCCAGTGCTTTGTTTTTTTTTAGAAGCAACATTTGGATATGTGGTTTTTAATTGCTTTTATTGAATTAATGTATTTTAAATTCAAAAGTAAGGTTTTCTGGTGGATCTTGAATATAAGGAATAATACTTGTTTTGTAGTAATAATTCATCTTCTGACTCAGACTCAACTGTTGGTCTTACATAACTAATGATTCTTTAACAAGAATTATATCGCCTGTAATTACTCTTTATCTGGAAGCGCTTGATTGAACTATACCATCAATTGCACTAAGATCAGGATACTTTGTAGCTTTATCCTTTTGTCTTTTGGCCACATCATTAAATTCAATTACTTTATTTTTCGCGTCACTTGCTTTATTTTTCATGATAACTACTAAAGTTTTCAATCTCATGCATAATACTTTTTAATACAAAACTACACAATTCAAATTTTATTGTTATTGTTATAAATATGGATGGTACCACTATAATTATTATATCGAGAGTTTAAATAGTCCAACTTCATTATATCGACTAATTCTTCTATAAATGTGGAAATGATGTGATAAAAAAGGGTTTTTGGTGTTTCACGAAAAATTGTTAGCATTGTTACTTATCAAAACAAAAAACAATTATCAATGATAGTGGAAGTTTGTTGTTACACGAAATGTTATACAGAACCCATCTCTCACCTCTAAGTTGGAGATCAAGTTCAGATCCAGTTTATCATTTACTTTTTATTGGCAGAATGTTTGCCGTGTATTGTAAAGTTACGTTACACAATATAAAAAAATAAGTGTAACATTTCAACTTTCCACTTGTTTTGATCACCTCAAGGAATTTTTTTGGTATTTATAAAGATATAAAAATGGATTCATTTTGAATGAATATTTTTTTGGTAAATTATTTATTTATAAATATTCGGTTATCAAAAAGATTTCATTCATTGAAAAAAAAAATTCAATATTAAATAGTATTTAAAAAAATAAATTATGTCATCATTATTCATTTCCAATTGCTTTATTAAAACAGTCACTGCAACTGACAATAGTATATCTGGCACAGCAATATATAAGACAGCAATAGGCGGTTTCAGGGAATTGTTGTTTAAGGGATTTTTTAATAACAGTAAAGAAGATGAAAGCATCATCAATTTTAATGAAAAACCTTTAATTAAAGTCATTCTTGAAGAAAGCATTCATATTACATGTAGCTCTTGAAATATCCCAATTAAGTAATTCCAAAATTGACAATCATTACACATTACAACAAATAAAGTTAACCTGCCAGCATTGATTCCAATAAGACATTGTACACATAAATTACACTGATAATATTGTTCTAATCAGTTGATTTGCACTAGAAGACAGTACAAATATGTAATTAAAATAATATCAATATTAACATCTTTTTTAAAATTTTTTGTTTATATTAACTAAATGACTTTGAAATTTTAGCTACATTTAATTCAAACAATCATCACTAATGACAATGAGGGTTTGTCTGAAGAAAACTTATCAATAAATCAAAGTCAAATTTTAATGTTCTCTGGTGTGGTACAAGACAATTCTCATGTTGAAGACAGTCTCTAGCTTTTATCTTATCTTATATTATATTAGACCATCCAATCATTTCTACAACAAGAATCGTTTCATTGTCAAGTGAAAAATTTATAATCTGACTACCAAAAACTCAATTGGTTACAACATATATGGAACATAATGACATTAAAGAAAAATATTTGATGAAATGTGTTTTTTCTATTGTAGGAAAAATGAGAATTAGTAGATCCGATGCATTACATTTAGAAACTACAGAGATAGTGGAATTTTTCCACAATTAGAACAAAAAGATGTTGATATAGATGATGAATTGGAAATAAATTCAAATCAAATAATTTGAATAAAAGAAAAAAAATGTTGTTTGACAAAATGTTGCCAAAAGTTGTGAAACCATTACGCCAAATTATTCAGTCAAAAATGACATATATAGTAAAATTACTTTAAAGGCCAAAATAATATAAAGGCCCCCAAAAAACTTATAAATGTATATTACAAGGTCTTTTTTTTCTCATGTATCTTGCTCAATCTCTCCTTTTCATCAGTTATTCACAAGGAGCTAAGTTTTTCTTTTGCTGAATACAAATTTAGTTCCCACACTCCCATTTACTACTAGAACATTTCTTATATAATATTAATAACATGATACAATGATCGGGTAAATAAAACATCATCTAATAAAGTATAAGATTATTAATATAAATAGAATGCCAAACTTTATACTATGATTGCATAATTTTTCCCTGGTTAATAGATGATATTGATGGTTTGGTTTATTAAAGTTTACTTTTGAAATCTTGTTTGATAATTTGTTTGCTGCATTGTAATCAAAAATTCAGATGATTTTTTTAATATTAAGCATGATTTCTTGTATTATATTCAGGGATCATCCAAACCAGGGCTGGAAATAGGATCTGGAAAAAAAACGGAAATTCCTCCTGAATGCTAATAGTATGGTATGATGAAAAGCCAGAAATCGTCATTCCGGAAAGAATACAAAAATTCAAGAGTTTATAAAATGAAATCTCAAAGCTTTGATCTTTTATAATCAATAAATTTATAATCACTAGTCGAAAAAGGACAGTTCGGAATAAAATCAGTGAAAGATTGGGCATCTGATTTTCTACCGATTTTTACCTATTGTAAGAACAGTTACGATTTTCTTATATCCGATTATTGTTGAATT